TTGCTCAGATTGGTTCTCCACACTCTAAGCACTCTGTTCAGTTCAGCTATGGTTCCCCCACTGCCCTGACAGCCACCAACCCGCCCGGTACGCCACACTTTTCCCTCCTCTGACCCAGGGACTGCAGTTATTCTTCATCTTTTACCTAACTACAGTACCTTATGTATTTATTTATCAATCACAGCTATCTAGCTGTGTCTCACGTTACAGCAGGCGTCATATTAAAATTTGTGTTGCTAGGCAATACCACATCTGTTGTTTTACATCATTTTCTGTGGCGTCAAAATGACGTCCTCAGTGGTTCTAGGTATAAGTAGTCATAAATTCTTTATTTTTTTATCCCCCACATCACATATTATTTTTCTAAAAACTTTAATTAAACCACCTACTTTAGGAAAAGTTGTGAAATGTGAGATGATGTGGTTACATGATTTTTTAAAAAAGCCAAGGGATCAAAATGACCCCCTCCGCGGTTCTACCGTGAACTGACGCTACCACACATTGGAGGTGATAATTTAAAAGCATCTGTTCATCCTCACCTGTTTCTTCATGTAGAGGTGCAAGGTGTCCTTCACCTGACTGCTTCATTTGGGTCTATCAGCTTGGTTTGTGGCATAAAACAAAAATAATCTCAAACTGGCGAGTTTGTGTTCTTTTCGCACCAAGAAAAGTGTGCGCATGACGTGGCTGCACTGCATGTGGATCAACAAACGTATCGCTACTTCCTAGTTTTTGGGCTGACAGTGATTATTATTATTATTATTATTAATTTAGTTATTTTTGTTTTATCTGCATTTCATCTCATTAATTTTACATATTTGTTTCACTCAAGTCCTTGAGTCAGCCTGACATGTAGAATTATACCAACTTAACACACTTTATTAGGCTCATTTCTATGCACGGCACCAGCATGGGAAGAAAACCCTGGAATAATACTATAAATATTAATTAAATTTCACACTTCAAATCCGAAACAAAAACAGAAGTGCTTCATGAAAATGCTTTTCAGGATCTTTAAATATAGACTAGACTGACTCACAGGTCATCATATATACTTGCCTACAGTCTTTAAATCCTCACGTTTCACATGTTGAAGGCTATAGTGAGTATTTCTCCAATGAGGAGCCAGACTTCAGTGGCCTGTCTGGGTTTGGAGCAGTTGAATATGTATTTGTGAATGGCTTTTCTTGTTCTATCTATGTAGAGTAATGAGCTGTACTCCTGTTAAAGGAATGAGAATTTATTTCCCTTTTTTCATAAGAGATGAAAGCGGCTTATCATCTGAGAAGAGCTGGGTGCAATCGATGCTTGTTTTCAGCTCATTCTCTATAATGTTTAATGAACGCTTATCTGTAAATCCAAATTGTGAGGAGAATAAATGTTGCTGATGTACATTCACCGTAGTAAACTCGGTCGGCGAAGCCATGAAACATCTTTTGATTCTCTGTGCAGCAACATACCTGCTTATGCAGTAGAGAAAGGCAATGTGATCCCAGCATGAGGCAACTGACAAAAACCCAGCCTGAGAGCGGGAGCCTCTGCACTGCACTTCCCCCCCGCCCGACTGCAGTGGAGCCCGGGCCCTTTGAAGCTCCTCTTCTGAGAGCCTCCCCGTTAAACATTTAACATTTAAAACTTAGGAGAGGCGGGGCAGGGTTGGAGAGACATGTGTTCATGCTCGCCACATGCTCCCGCATCCCCACATCCAACAGACCCTCATAATCCCACCCCACCCCCCTGTTGCTTCATCCTCGTTCCTCGCTTTTGACCCATGCTGACAGAATGAGAGGCATCACAGAGCATCTCAATAATTTAACTGTACAAGTCCACAGCCCTGCCTCTGATATTGCATGCTTTTGTTTGTGTGCC